ATGTGCTTATCATGGCCAATAAGCACATGAATAGTTGGTCAGCAGCACTAATCACTAGAGAAATACAAATCAAGATCATAATGAGATACCACTTTTCACACTATAGGATGGCTGTAGTAAGAAAGACAGTAGCAAGTGTTGGTGAGGTTGTGGAGAAGCTGGAATTGACATATATTGTGCCAAAGAAAAATTAGATTAATTGGGCTTCACCAAAATTAAAAACTTTTGTGCTTTAAAAGATACCGTCAAGAACATGAAAAGATAACCACAGAATGGAAGAAAAGCCACAGAAACACCCCCCCACCCCCGCACGCTGTGATGGCCGCTTTCAATGTCGCTCTCTGCTCACCAGATCCTGATTCTGCCATTTGGAGATGGGAGAGGGAGAGGAGGAAAGGGTTTTTTGTTTGTTTGTTTTAAGATACTGGCTAGCTTGCAGAAATGCTGGGAGGACCAGAGAACTTGGCTCCAGGCGAAGCTTCTGGGAACAGCATCCAAATGCATGATGCTGGAACTTGGCTGCTCTGCCCTCTGCCACTGCTGCTGCCACTGGCCGGAGTGTGTTTCTGTCCCGTCCCTCTGCTGTCACTGTACCCTGGGTGATCTGGTATGGGTATGTCTGGGCACAAGGGTGGGCACTGGAGGAACCTAGTTTATGTATCTGTATCTGAGTTGCAGGGGAAGCTAGGAAAGCACACGTGTAGCTTTTTCACCTCCTGGGGGAAGAAATAGTCTTTGAGCCTCTCTAGAACCCATAAATGGGGAATTCCCTAAATAACAGTGGGGTTCAGCTGCTGGGTAGCCGAAACAAATGATGAGTTCCCAGCCGATAATGTATTCTTTCTAAAAATTGGGTGTGTAGTGAGTCCATTTGGTAAGAATGCAGCAAGGCAGGATGTTTGAGAAAAGAGGAGGTTTGAAATGCAGAAACCAGGCATGGGGAGGAGAGGAGCTCACTTAAGAAACAGTAGGTATACTGGCTCACTGGGTGAGCTGCTGTGAGTCTGGGCCACTACTGCTTGGGGCTGTTGATTTTTTCTGGAAATAATACTGGTTAAATTTGGCATTTCAGAAGTGAGCAGTTGCTCAGTGAGCTGTTGCTAGCTTTATTTCACCCATTTCCTGAGCCATCTTTTTAGCTTTCTTAATAAACTTTTGGTCTCCAGAAAGTACTGTGTGTCTTATAATGGAACTAAATCATCTTAAAGGACTAAGAGGCATAATGCTTAGTACTCAGTAGAAAACAAACGTGTAGATTTATTTAATGCCCTCAACCTGTATTTTTACTCCCAGAGTAACTCAGCATTTTATTTGATTCTGTGGAGAGAAGAGAGAGAGATCTCTTACCCCTGTAAACATATGCCCTAATTGGAAGAATCCTCTAAAATTTTACATTGTTTCCTATTTGTAAGACTGTTGTCAAATGCTCTGAATTTAGCAGTGTATGTAAAGTGCCATCCTCTTTCATGGTTTTGAAATTGAATGAGCTTTTAATACTAATGCTACAGCTGAATTATGCTGATTTCATATTGATAGTCGGAATGTTTAATGACAAAATCTCCGGTTCTCCTACCCTTGGATGAATCAAAAGATGTGTCTTGAACACCTGCAGTGTGTCCAGAGCTGTTTTAGACAAGTTGACTAAGCAAAGTGAAGTCTGAGTTTTTGATGTTTGCTTCTTTTATGTATAAAATAAGGACTTGTTCTCTATCTTTGAGTTTAAGGGTTAGCATGTCATGAATTAAGCCCTGTAGTCACATGATATAGTGAAGCGTGGACCTGACATGAGGACGTGGGAGTTTTCCAAAGAAGGTGTGATGCAACAGAAAAGCAGTTGCACTGAAGGGTAAGGGAAGACTGGTTTGTGGCATCCCGGGAAGATGTCATCGAAGAAGGCAAAAGGCTCATTGACAGGATCACGTGGGTATGGGCTGAATTTCTTGCATCAGAGTTGAGAATGGGAGAGATGCGATTAGGTGCAATGGGAAGAAGGATGCATTCTGCCGACTGGCCAGCGCATGCCATGGAGGCCTGGCCATGTGCCCACGGGTTTGGATTGTAATCCCAAAAGGTCAAAATTCCCAATGTTGAAAATCTCAATCCCAAAAGATCAAAATTCGAAACGTTGAAATCCTGAAAGTTGAATTCTGGGGAAGGGATTAGTGTGTCTTCAGTTGTATGCAGGATAGTTACATCGTGTTAGTGGCATCATGTTAGAGAACTATTATCTTGTTATTGTCTTTATTTGCATACGGCAGAAAATGCAGGTGAGTGGACTGGCCACAAGATACACTGGTGGCAAAAACTGCAGTTTAAAAATGCCTCCTTTGACTGCATTGGCATTCTTTCCCATTGGTGACATTCTAGGAGCTTTTTATGAATTAAAAGAGCATTGGCCAGAAGAAGCCGGCAGAGTTAGTGTCTGTCTCAAAAATAATTGTGTGCATGACAGGATATGAAGACACGTACGCAGCTGTGCTGCTGCTCAACACTGGTATTGTGTCCTCCAGACCTGTGGTCTGCACAGGAGTTCCTGTGGAAGGGGCTTCCAGACCATGTGGAAGTAGGCACAGATGGGAAATTCTAACAGGGATGCTCACACAGGTGTACAGCGAGTCACAGAAGAACTTCAGAAATAGCAGTGCTGGTGTTGGACAGAAAACAAAAGTAACCATCCTCTCCCAGGAGAACCACATCCTAAAGAAAAAAAGCAACTATTCATGATGCAAGGCATGAACATATAGCTAAGATTGTGAAACTCAGCTTGTTCTCTGGACTCTGTGCAGTTGCCCATATCTGTCCCTGTGTGTGTTTCCAAATATCAAATCTTCTTTTAGTCTGTTCTTTTTTTTAGTTTTTTCCCCCCACCATTTAAAATTGTCAGCATTGTTTTTTACAATTCTTGATGCTATGTATTTCATCTTCATACCATTTTTAATTCTGTAGGTATAAATTGTATAGAGACTTTTAGAGAGCTCTAAGTTGGTTTTATGCATCTTTTGCAAATTTGATGTCACAAAAATACAGCACCACAATGTTGACTTTGTAAGCACTGTGCACATAACCACGTTGAAACTTCCTCAGGAAACGAGGGGAAGTCCTTTTTGTACATCTACATTTGTGATAGATAGCATTTCTCTGGATCTTTGGGTGACTAAGCATGCAGTGGTGACCCACCTCTGTTTTTTATTGATCTCGTCAAAAGAAAAGGTTGTCACAGTATTTCAGGTGCCCACAGTGACAGAGCTGGGTGCACACAACTACCAGCCACAGCAATAAGTGTTTATACATTTTCCTTTTTGACTATTTCTTTGTGAATATGGCTTGTCTGCTCATAACTGTTGTACTTGTTTGACTGTCATTAATGTACCTGAGTGTTGTGGCAAAGATGTGTATGTTGTTATTGCCCATTGTGTAAAGTAGCCTATGAAATGTTCTATCATTTTTTATATGCTTCTCAAATAGGTCCCCTTAAATCTCTTTTAGAGAATTTTTAAAATTGTTTCCCCCAGAATTATATTTTTGAGATTTTGTTCTTTCTAGACTATGGTTTTGGGGACTTTAGACTTTAGGGATTTTTGATCTTTAGGAATTTCAAGATTTGAGATCATGGTGTTCAAGATTATGTCTTTTGGGGGTTGTGATCCACTCCCATTGTTACCAGGTTTACTTTATTTTATTTTGAGTTGGAATCTCACTCTGTCACCCACACTGGAGTGCAGTGGCACACTCACAGATTTGCTACAGCCTGGGCTCCAGCTATCATCCTGCCTCAGCTTCCTGAGTAGCTGGAACTACAGGTGCACATGACCACACCTGGCTAATTTTTTTTTTTTTGAATTGGAGTCTCACTCTGTCGTCCAGAGTGGAGTGCAGTGGCTGCTCCCGGCCACCGCAGCCTCGACCTGCTGGGCTCCGGCGATCCTTCTGCCTCAGTCTTCCAAGTAGCCGGAATTACAGGCATGCACTACCACACCCGGCTGATTTTTTGATTTATTGTAGAGATGAGGTCTCACTGCCCAGGCAGGTCTCGAACCCGCGGGCTCAGGCAATCCACTCACCTCAGCCTCCCAAAGGCGCGGGATTACAGGCTGAGCCACCGAGCCCGGCTTGGCTAATTTTTTAAAACATTTTTGTAGAGACGAGGTCTCACTATGTTGCCTAGACTAGTCTCAGACTCAGTCTTTCTGCCTTGGCCTCTCAAAGTCCTGGGATTATAGGCGTGAGCCATGCGCTCGGCCAGGTTTACTTTAAAAGTTTCCTCAAGTAACATAGACAGTGATTCTCAGCTACAGCATTTTTATACTGATGATTTTATTGGGTTTTATAAATTCTGAATAGAGCTAATTAATTCTATAGCTTGACAATATGCTTTTCAGTTGTGACCTGAGAAATACTTTGATACTTTAAAAAAGGCCAGATGCGGTGGCTCATACCTGTCATTCCAGCACTTTAGAAGGCAAAAGCAAGAGGACTGCCTGAGCCCCAGGGGTTTGAGACCAGCCTGGGCAACTTGGTGAGACCTGTCTCTATAATTTAAAAAAAAATGGCAGGGTGTAGTGGCAGGTGCCTGTGGTTCTATTCCTTGGAAGGCTGAGGCAGAAGAATTGCCTGAGCCCAGCAAGTCAAGGCTGCGGTGGCCATGAGTATGCCACTGCACTCCAGCCTGGATGACAGAGTGAGACTCCTACTCAAAAAAAAAAAAAAAAATGTCAGGGGAGAATCCAAGCCACAGTAATCACCTTTGTTAAATGCCATGGAATAATTTAGACTGCAGTTTTTTTTTAATAAGGTCAAAGTGTAAATGAAATGAGGTTGTTGGTGTTATCAAAAGTAAAAACTCCAAAATATTTAACTCAATATTGTTTTTTAACTTATAAGCCATATTACTTTATATTTTATGTCTTCAACGAGGGCTCAAACTAATCTTTAAAAGATAACTGAGGGACCAAGGTGTGTGCATAATAGATTTTAATGCAGCTCATCTTTCTTTGACACAGTTGGCTGGGGAACGGACCAGGGAATTGGTGGATTCGGAGAGGAGCCAGGGATTAAGTCGCAGCTAATGAACCTTATTCGATCTGTAAGAACTGTGATGCGAGGTAAGAAGCAAAACCAGTAGAGCATTCAAGTTTTAACTGTGTGGTTTCATTTAAGTACACTTCTGAGTGGAATACTACCACATGCGCTTTTGTAGTGGGGATTTTTGTTCTCTTTAGCTTGGCTTTACTGCTTGAAAGTTACTGGTTTTGTTCTTAGTTTGCCTCTTATTTCTCTCTAAACCAGTTGCTGCAAATGGAATGGTTATTGGTATAATGTGTGTGTTATCTGTCAGAGCTAAAAGACAAAATGATAATCTCACCTTTTGGAAACTGTTGGTTCCGAATTGTAAAGTCATATACTCTATTAGAAGATTTTCAAGAGAAAAATAAAGGTCCCACATATGCCAGTCTATTGGAAAATATTTTCAAGCAACTCAAAAAAGAAGAGTTCAGAAACCCTCTATTTAAAACGATTAATCAGGGTCTCTTCTTGAACCTTTAATCCCAACCTTGGCCTTTGGATACATGTTGAATAGATTGATTCTGCATGTAGTGACTAAGCTGCAGAATCTTTGCACTGTATTTCTGATCTCAAGTGGCAGTGGCAGCCATGGGGTCTACTTCGGGGTCCCCCATGCTTCTGCATCCTGAGTTGCACCAGCACATCTGCAGATGTTTCATGTGGATCTAGTTGTGCCAACAGACCCTTATTCCCAGTTACACAGGCTCTCTTTAAAATAAGTTTTGGATTTTGTGATCCAGTGTATTTTTTAATCTTCTTCTATAACTATTTAAATCATGATTATGATAACATATCGTTAGATATTTCCATTCTTCCTGGATGCTAGTAAGTATTACTTAGTTTTTTCCTGACTTTCTTTCTTTTTTTTATTTTTTATTTTTGAGTTGGAGTCTCACTCTGTCGCCCAGACTGGAGTGCAGTCTCGAACCCGCGGGCTCAAATCCGCGGGCTCAGGCAATCCACTCACCTCAGCCTCCCAAAGGCGCGGGATTACAGGCTGAGCCACCGAGCCCGGCTTCTGACTTTCTTTATAATAACAAACTTTTTTTTTTTCTTTGCAGTGCCATTGATAATAGTTAACTCAATTGCAATTGTATTGCTTTTATTATTTGGGTGAACATCCATGGAGGAGCTGGAGACTCAGCAGAAGAGATGCCAACAGACGTCATGACTTGAGTCATTACTGGAATCCTCATCTTAGCTGGCTGACCTCACACTTGACAAAACTGTAAAGCTGACAGTAAAACCAGAGTTCCTGTTTTATCGATTTTTTTTTAAATGTTGCATTTGTAGTTTCTTTACAAGAAGAACAGATCATTAGAGGCAGTGACTCTCCAGGCCTGGAATATATGTAGTTGCTCACTGTTCATAGTTCATGCTGTGGCAGAGATTGTCAAAAGGGCACAGGACTGTCTTATCTGGTTTTAGGTATTTTTCTCTCTCTCACATCTCAGGGATGAATTTTTTTTCAAAGTTTTGCGGTTCCTTGTGACTTTGCCTTATGATTTAGACGTGAGAGAGATCATCCCCTAAATAAAATGTAAAAGATTTTTAAAAAGTAATTACTACATACATATAAAATGATAAGCAGGTGATGTGGTTAATTTTATTTTGAACTCTTTGGTTACATATTTCGCCTACATATTGTTTCAGCTGTGAAGCATTCAAATTTATAGATGCTATTGAGGAGTAATGCTCTGATTTCAGGAAGAACTCTTAATATTGTCAGTCAGTCAGTCATGCGATGGTTGTTTTTGTTTTCAGTTCTTTTCATGCATTTGTTTTATTAAATTGGCCTGAATGATGAGACCAGACCAGTATTTACATATTTTTGTTGTCAGAATAATCTGGCAAAGTTTGTGTCCTTTTTACAAATGATGACTTTTTAAAGACTTAAGTACTAGCCTGCAAGAGCAATCCTAAGCACTCACAATTAGAGGAACCACATAAGACCGCGTACTGTAAAGCATTTACCTCCCCCCAAATTATCACATTTCTGTTTCTTGGCGCAGTAATACATTGAGGGGTGTGTTCTTAATTCTCCATTTCGTCAGTAGTATATTCATGTCAGCTGAGTTTTTTTAATTATTATTTTGTTTTGTTTTTATGGTTTAGGCCATCTTGTGAGATTGTTTACTCATCCCGTAATACAATTTCATGCAGAAAGGTTGAAACTATGTAAATTTATTTTGGAAATTATCAGTTATAATATTTTAAAGGGGTGGAATGGTGTCTTTGTTTATACAAGAACACTTGTAAATAAAGTTAAATTTCCAAGTCAAACACTTGTTTTTGTACGTAAGTATAAACCTAAGTGTTACCTGCATTAATCTCCATTTTGTGTTTGATGCCTCTGTTACATTCTCTGCTGTCACAATGCTAAGTACTGATTTAGTGAAAGAAACATTTACATCTATTTTTTCCTTCAGCTAACTGAATTGCTGGCATACATCCAGAAGACACATGAGCACCTTTCATTCCTGACTTAAGTACTGCTAAAACTCCAGAGCAGGTATTGAATGGCGTTGACTGTGCCTGAGCTAGAGGTGCATAGTCTCTGGGCTGTGGGCAGCAGCTGCACAAAGGAAATGGGTGAGGGTTCTTAGGAGAACTTGGCTCGTCTAAGTTGCGTACTTGCTTTTCAGAGGCAGTGTTCTTGTGGCCTTACAAAGAGCTGATGCATGAGTTCCACTTTGAGCCACTGAACAGATTCAGAAGAAGCAGTTAATTGAGGGCATTCCCATTTCTCCATGTGGCACAAACTGTACAAAACTGCAAAAAGAGAGACCTAGGTCTGATGTTTTTCAAGTAAGACATTACTATACATCTTTATGTTAACTTAGTTTTGGGAGATCGTCTAAATCCCTGCTCCACTGGGGAGCAGTCACCAAAGGGCTGGATCAGAGTTTTATGTAGCAAAGCAGCTCTGAGGAAAGTGAAGCATCATATATCTACAGAGTTCCTATGCAGAGGCCACCACACAATTGCAGTTTCAGTGTGGCTGCAGGGGAGCTGTCAGCTTTGTCCGGGTAGCCCTGGCTTCCCCAGAGCACTTGTGGTTCAGCAACTGTAGCATCTTATTTTAGTAGAGGATAACTTAAGCACCTGTTTGCCTCCCCACAGCTTCCCCTTTGTCCATTCTCAAGATTAACAACTTGTGATCATTCTGGACTCCAAATATCCATAATGTTTATGGTCCTGTTGGCCCTCCATCTGCTCATATCTGACCCGTTGGGAAGGGTCTTGGCTCTAGTCTGTAGATCTGAACCACATTTGTACCCTAATCCTCAATCAAGTACATTGGTTTTCAAACTTTGATTGTTAACAGCAGAAACGGATTTTCAGAGGAATTCTAGCGGAATTCTAACCAGTATATAAAACATATGAGAGTAGGTCCATCTATTTCTGGTTGACAGGGTCAGGACCCAATGGCTCACTGGGCAGTCTACACTGCTCTCTTGTCAAGCTCCCCGAGGCGTTTCCACAAAACCCTGAATTTTCAAAAACATGGTTTAAAAGTATGTTTTAAAATCCCTACTTCAGATACAGTATGAGTAGCTAATCGTCTGTGCTCTACAGGTATGTACAGTCGCTTGTGTTTGTGTGTTACTCATGAAATGAGAGGGAGCAATTTGAACAGTCAAAAGAGTAGGAGGCAGGATATTTCTACGATGCCAAACCAAACTTTTTACTATGTGACTTAAGAGGCAAATAAACTTCTTAAGACCTCAGTTTTTGGTTGCCTCATCTGTAAAACCGGTCAATAACTTTTAGAACAGAAGCTTGGTCTAGATGGTTTATGGGGGTCTTTTCCAGCTCACTCATCTTTGATTCTAGATGTACCTCGACCAGAGAGATGCTCTCTTGAAGTAATAACGTTTTTAGTGAAGTACGCCGCCTTCTCGTTGGCTTTGTAGTTTCAAAGTTATTACCAAAATAAAATGTTGATGTTAATCAAAATGGAGCTCTTGCTAAGATTTTTCTTGGTCTCTGGTCATTGAATGCCAAATACTGTGAAGACATTTGTGCGAGGACCTGGAACACGTCCAAGGCTATTCATGGTCAAGGTAAGTTCGGAGTCCTTCGGTTCAAATACTGCTTTCTTTACGTCACCATTCCTCTTTTGGGTTTTGTCCCCATCATTTTTCCGATTTCAGCCCCTCCCTCTTGGGGTCCCATTCCTTCTTTATCCATCCTGCCCTTGGGCAAGGGGAGCCATTCTCCGAGTCTGGCCGAGGAGGAAGGCATTAGGCTGTTACGTTGACACGGCGGCTTCTCTGCCTAGCCTGAAACTCAGTAGTCATCTTGACGCTTTAATTTTCCTGACCTCCAGCCTGGTCTGTCACCCATTTCTGTTTTACCTCCCAAAGGATGTGTCCTCTGTGCTTCGTTTCCGCACGTTCTGGTGAAAGCCCCTGTCTCGGGTCCCCGCGGTGGTCTCCCGTCCGCCTCCTCCGTTCAGGCTGTAGCCAGAGGCCGCACTTTGAACAACGCGTGTGTTACTTAAGTAGGTCCTGGGTGGTGGTTTAATCTGGCCCAAGACTACGGGTTCAGCAGGGGGAGTGAGGCCCAAGTGCCTCCTGATAGCAGCCCTCGCACAGCAAACTCCGCAGACGCGAAAGACAAAAACCACCGCAGGCCCGGCGCAGGGAAGGGCAGAGGCCCCCACCCGGGACAGAGGGGCCACCCTCACGCGGGGGCTGCCACGGGGTGGGGCAGCAGCTCTGCCCAGAGGATCGCGGGCGTGCGGCCGCCGCGACACGATGCTCCGAAGGCCGCTCGTCCAGTGGGCAGACGGCGGGCGCTTGGGTCCACGGGAGTCTGCGCGTCGCGGGGAGGAGCGCGGGGGGGACACGGCTTCCTCGGCACAGGCACGGCCTGACTGCCCCGGCGGGGAAGCCGCCGAGCGCGTCCGGAGGCTTTGGGAGCGCCGGGGGAGGCCGGGGTCTCCAGGACCAGCACAAGCGCCGGGCGGCTGCGGAGCAGACGGCGGCTTCGGGGTTCGCGCGCGTCCGGGCCAGCGTGACTTTGCGTC